CTAGTGTCAGTGCAGATGAACTCCGGCATTACGATCGAGTCAGGAAGCAGTTTGAAGGTGCGGGCAAGAAGGAGGATAAAAAGGAGAATGGGGCTGTGCAGGCTGTTCAGCCGGCGACTAGCGCGAAGGGAAAGGGTAAGGCAAAGGCGCCGATCGACGAGGTCGAGGATATGGTTGTTAGGACGGAGAATTTGGAGGTTAATGGATTTGCGAATGGGGATGGGAATGGGTCGGCTGGGGGGAGTGGGAGTGGCAAGGGTAAAGGCAAGGCGCCGGCGAATCATACGCCGGGTAAGAGTAGTGTTGATATCGCTGAGGGTGGGTTTGGCGATGCGACCATGGACGATGATTTGTACTCTTAGGGGCTTGTCTTGCTAATTGTAAATGATTGCCCTTGCATGGCACGTTGTACATGTTTTTGTGCATGGTTTTGCCGATTGGTCCGATCAACCGTACTATACGATCGAGCTGGTCGTTGGTTAGCCAGAGGGAAAGAGTAGGAGAGGGAGGACTTGTATGCTTCCTTGCATTCCTCGAGGAGACGAGTCTCTGATGATTATGATCTCTCTCATTCGAGAGCATCTCTTCGTATGGGACGGTTATGTATGGTGGGAATTGTTAGTGGCTTGCTGCGCACGAGGAGACAGCGTCAAGGTACATGGTCAATTTGAAAAGCTTTTCTAGTACAAAACTTCAGCCAACTCGTAAGATCGCCAACAAAACATTCGCTCCTCACTCTCAAAGCGAGCTAGAATCTACTCCTCTTTCTCCACACAGCCAGTCCGAACGCGTTCTCCATAACATGAACAGTATCGCGCGGGGCCCACATCAACGATCTAACGTGTGGCATCCTTTCCCGCAGCAGCTCCACCACCTTCTCCCAGGCTTCCTCAGGATGGCGCTTCCGTAGCGTTACCGCGCCGTCCTGATAACTGAACATGACTTCCTCTAGCCCCGTGAATCGCTGCAAATTCGCGCAAGTTGTTTCTTGACTCAGGAGGAACTGGAATGCACCGAGGTGTAGCTTTTTGATAGCTTGCACGTAAGCTAGAGGCACAGTGGCGAGAAACGTATTCAAGGTGGATTCCACAGTGATGCAGAACGTATTAAAGCTGTAGGGGAGGAGTGCTGCCTCGTTGTGAATCTGTGTGCACGCAGCCAGTAAAGAGAAAGCGGGTGCCGCACGTGGGTAGAGGTAGAGCGGTATGCCATAGATATTAGATGTGATGCGAGTCCGGCCGCGGAGCGCGTAGTGATAGATGAGGTTTCGTAGTTCTGCTGGGAGACGGAGGAGAGGGGAGTTCCGCTGGTTTGCCGCTGTAGCTTCGGCGTTGGTGAATTGCGCCATATTTTTAGCTGCCGGGTCGGGTATGGGTATCGTTGCCGTTACGTGGTATGAGCGGTGGTTGTGGCGGTAGCGTCGTCGTCGTAGAAGTGGGAAAGTGCGACAAAGCTTGGAGGTGCACGTGCTCGCTCAAAAAGGTAGTCAGGCAAGTGAAGGAGAAGACAGCGTCCCAGATCTAGTTGGTCATAGATAACGAGCGCATTGCTTGACTTGGCGAAGGTAGAACAGAAGAGAACCTTTGAAGTCTTTAATTTTGTCTTATCTTATAGAAAGATGAGCTTGTGGCTGATCATCGATCTCAGTATGCTTTGCTGGAATGAACATCTGCACACCATCTCATTTCAAGGCGCCCATGCTCCCTTTCCTTTCTCAGTGCTCATAAGACTGCCCGTTGCGTGTCTTTAAAAGACAATTGCTTCTTGCTCTTCGGCCTCTTCTTGACGCTCAGTCCGGAGTATCTCAGTAAAGCTCTTCTCACTGCTCAATCCGGAGTGTCTCATCAATGCTACTCTCACCGCCCAATCCGGTTCCTTAGGTATAAACTTATATGTCGAAATTTTGACACCCGGTACATCCTTTCGTAGACCCTCCGCCAAAACCCGCAGCCCGTCCTGATATCGGGGAACTCTTAAATGATTGTCTGAACAGCTGTGTTTCAACCTAATTTGCTCCAAGCCCTTGAACTTTGCGAGTGAGGATGCAACGCGGGGATAATGAGTGTCGATGAAGCAGAGTGGGATTTCCAGCGTTTTGATAGCTTCGATGGACGATTTAGTCATGCTAGTAACGAGGTCGTTGATCATGGTCGTCGATACAAGGTCGAACACGCTGAGGCTGTAAAGCAGCATCCCAGCCTCGGCGGTGATCTGGGTGCATACTTTCAATAGCCCGAATGCCAGTGCAAATTTGTCGCGATATAGTACTAGTACTTTGTCGCCGCGTAAACTCAACCTGATTCTCTGGCCGCCCAGCGCGTGCACCCAAATCTGATTTCGAAGTTCGCCCGGTAGGCGGAGAAGAGGAGAGTTCTGTTGATTTGCGGATGTTATCAGCGCCGTTGTTTGCGCTGTCGATATGGATTTAGACATTTGCAGTTGAGTGAGTTGAGTTGACGGGTGCTGCAATTACTGTTCTCTCGTGAATGGAAGAAGTCACAAATATCGTGAGAGCGCAACAGGGTTTTGAAGTGCAGGCGATGCTAAGACATTCGAAGAAGTGAAAGAGAGCGTTTGCAAAGCCGTGCACTACGATAGCTTATTACATTAGTAGTGCTATACCTTGATACGTATGTATATAGGTAGTGAAGATAGATATTTTTGACAAGACCTCGGGAAGGAGGGACAGGTAACGATCCTTCTAATTCTGCATGAAAGTTGACTTTGGCTGATCCTCATCATCAAGTAACTTTACTAGAACACGATTCGTGAAATCTGCACCTTCGATTGTTTTCCTCGATCTCGATGAGTCGATGCTCGAAAGCTATCCTGTCATTTGTGACAGCATCCCGAATCCCACTGTTTGTCCGACCATATATGTCAACTGCCAACCGTCTCAGTAATGTCCCGTATATTTGTTTCCCATGTCACCGTCCCACGTCGTAATCTTGACATCAGGGATCGTTTCCCGCAGTAGTTTCGCAAAATAACCCACACGAGACAAGTCGGAGTTCCTCGACACAAAGGAATTTGTATTGTAGCGTATCCTGATCTCCTTCAGACTTTTGCATCGAATCAGATGAGGTGACGTGTGATCTGGATTTCTGCAGACGTCTTTGGTGTGAATGACCAGTATCTCAAGGGCTCCAAGCTGTGATGTACTCATAGTGCTCAGGAAAGTATTGGTGCTGCTGGCGTCTGTCGAGAAGTGGAAGATGTTGAGGCGGTATGGGAGAAGGGCGGCCTCGGCGTGGATTTGTGCGCACACTTTTAGTAGCGCGAAGCGTGGGATGGGCTTATCTGAACAGAGGCGTGGCTGTGTTGTCGCCAATAAGAGTCTATGTCCGCCCAATACGTATTTGTAGATCTGGTTTCGTAGCTCGGCGGGAAGGCGGAGAAGGCGGGAGTTGCGTCGGTTCGCTGATATTTCCTGCGCCATTATTGAGTTGTTGCGACGGGCCTGGGTGTTTGGCGCTGTACAGTGTGTGGGTGGAGCGGTATTGTGGTGTAGCCTTGTAGACAGGAAAGTGAGAGGGTGTGTGGAGGTGGAGACAATGCTTGAAATAGCTGTGGAAAGCGGCAGGGTGTATGCACGACCGTGCACTGCGAGATCTTGCTAAATTAGTAGTGCTTTGTCTCGATAAGAATGTAGTATTTAACAAAACACAAATGTTAATTAAGGTGGAGTGGGGGTTAGAACACTTCTAAATCTGCTTGCAGGTGAATTTTGACTCATCCTTAATGCCAGGAGATTTGCTAAAATGAAACCTCTTAAGGCACATCTCAGGCATTCTTAGTCCTTATCTACACTTAGTGCATGGGAAATCGCCTGTGTAATGTCGTGAAATCACTCTGCCTTCTACCTTTCTTTTGATTCCTACTGCTCATCCCAGCGACTCAGTACTCTGTGATACTGTTCGGTACTCCCTTGTCGTTCACCAACCAAACCTTGAGACTAGGCATCGTTTCCCGTAGCAGTCTCACCGTCTTCACCAAATGAGCCTCGCCGATATCAGTCCATCTCTTCCCATAGTAATTAGCTGGTCCGCTGTAGTACAGTACGTTGAGCCCTGATAAGCCCTCGCACTGTCTGAGAAGCGAAAACATATCTCGATCTTTCCCTGATGAGGTTGAGAAGATGTCGCAACATAGTCCCAGGTATTTGATGGCTTTTACCTGCCATGTGAACATGCTCCCAAGCAAGGTCTTCGCTGTGGTGAAATAAGTGAAGTAGAAGAGATGGAGGCTGTATGGGAGTTTTGCGGTTTCTGCGTAGATTTGGGTACATGTATGCAACAGTGTGAAGGAGAAGTGTAGAGGTCGAACTAAGCGTGGCTCGTTAAGATATCCTCTCTCCTTGTTGCTCCATTGTAGTTTTGCCGTGAAAAAGAGTGTAAAGCGGCCCAGCGCGTAATCGTAAATCAGATTTCGAAGTTCGGCAGGTAAACGGAGAAGAGGAGAATTGTGTTGGTTTGCTGCTGTGCTGTCTCAAGGTCAGCTCTTATTGTCGTCGCAATTGGTTTTGCACTCATAATACGTACATTCGAGCCCGAGCATCGTCGGCTTCGGTATCTTGCGCCATCTCGTGAGCAGCCTCAGGCGTGTCTAGCGTTGTGGGGTTAGAACTCAGTTGTGTGGCAGGAATTGGGTGGTGTTGTGATCTAGGTAGTTGCTAAGTGAGTGAGAGAGCTTGGACCTAAACTTGGAAGTGGAGCTGGGGCCGAAAGCGGTAACAGAAATGAGGATGTGTGTTTGCGCATCTCGGCGCTGGGACGCTAGTACAAGTTTGTTATGAACTCAGAGCCAACTATGTAGTTCGCATGCATTTTCTGATGTCATCCGACTTATGGCACCATCAAGAGTGGCTAGATATGTGTTGTATCTTACTACGTACATGCAACTGAGTCTGAACAAACAAATACCTTCTTGAGGTAGTGTATACCTCCAGCTTGATAACATTGTTGTATAACCGCGAACATTTCTCGTGTGCCCAACCTAGCCTATTCTTCGATTATGACGGTAACACCCGGTTTCATACGCTTCATCGTCTCCGCCAGCATCCCAATATCCTGTTGCTCGCCCACAGCACTCATCAGTGAAGGAACCCTCGCTTTCTCGATAACCACCGTCTGCAAGCCTTCCAGTTTCTCCAACCGTATTGACCCTCCATTGTTCCCAAAGTTCCAGAAGGACCGCTTCAGCAAACCACACCTACGTGGTTTGAGCTGAATGGTACGTATGAGTTTAAGTTGGGCGGGGGAGCATCGTAAGAGGAAGTATCGCATGGCGAGCTCGTGGTCGAATGCAAAGACGCAGTAAGGGTACTGTAGCATGGCAGCTTCTTCGGAGATTTGCTTGCAGACGAGTAGTAGACCAAGGGTACTTTCCAGTAGGAGGGGTCGCAATAGGATCTCGTGAACCTGGCCGCTCAACACGTATCTAGCACAGATGAGAAGGTTAGTGTATGTTCGTAATTTCTCTGAGTGATGCGAGAGAAGGTCTATTCACTTGTAGATCTCATTTCGCATCTCGGCTGGAAGTTGCAGAAGAGGGGACTCGATAGCGTTGCGCGTAGTTATATTTGTGTTCTCTTCATGCGACGACAGAGCTGCCGAGTGCTCATCGGCTGCGCGCGTCGCGTCCGCCATCGTGGTCGATATGTCGGTGCTAAGAGAAATGGAATTGGGGAGTTGCATTCCGAGCATGGAATCACTGGGTAGGACGGCCAGCGCTGCCGGAAAGAAGAACTGAGAGTCTGTTGCGCTAGGCCGTAAGTCGACCGCTCGCTCATTCACTGGGGATTCACCCAGTCTCGAATTTGAATCGTTGAGTAGGTAACGAGGATATTCTACCAAAACTACAAAAAATCTCCCAGCCAAACCCTGTAAATTAGATATTGCGAGTACCAACGAAGAAGGAGCCACTCACGACTCTTGTAATAGCGACGACGCAAACGACACTGAAAATACCCGCAGCCGAACGTCTCGGCAACTAGTATTTTCCACATCAGTCACACAAAAGCTAGCGTGCGCCTGACCATATCCTGCTACTCCAGACGATGAAGCTCAAACGCCAACTCAACATCCTTGGGTGCGAATTCCAGAAGTCTAGGACCCAAGCCAGCCTCTATCCGCTTGAGCGCCGCAATCTCCGACGGACGGGTCGTATGGAACGAGGACTCGGGAGACATTAAATCGCCGTCCTCTATCACAACAGCGACGTGAATGTACTTCAACCCCGTCAACGTACTCAGATTCTGAACACGCTTCAAGTCGAAGTCTCCAATGTCGTTCGGCCTGCTTGTATATTCCATAGCATTCAGGTAAAAGAAGAGCTTGGCGATGGCTCCAGTTTGAGCTGATGTGATGCGGTTTTTCAGCGCGCTGAGAGCGAAGTCGTTGTAGTACCAGAAGCGATTGATGCTAGAAAATGGGACTAGCGCGGTTTCGGTATATATCTGGCGACATGTCGACTGAAGCGCGACAAAAGGACTGCTCTCTTTTGGACCGCCTGGTAGGTTGGTGCGTGTAATCCTGACCTTTGAACGTTCCCAGGAGGCTACATCTAGGGAATGCTTGGGCCCTACCTCCAAATGTGTCTCGTGGAGAGCTGTACCGCATGAAGGATTGAGCAGTCGGATGCGGTTCGTGATCCGCGACAATTCCTGCTTGGTGTACTCTCCATAATCCACACGCCTCGATTTGATGAAGATGCTGAAGCCACGCATGGCTTCGGCAAATATCTGATTGCGGATCTCGCCCGTCAATGCTAGGAGCCTGGAGGACTGGGTATTGAGTTGGTATATCGTCTTAGCCTCTTCTGATTGTGGTGTAGCGTTCAGCATGCCGTCCTCTAGCAGCCGTATTTCCGGCCTTGGTGCAGTTTCTTGTTCGATTGACTTGTGCAATCGCAACAGCCGAAAGAAGGACTGGAGTGCATTGTCATCGTCCGTCAGGCCAAGAAGCTGGAGCGAAGGTGACGCTGACGTGTAGCTGTATGTGTCGTCGTTGATATGCAATATCGCCAGAGCGTCGTCGTACATTTCAAACGTATCTAACGCCTGATCTATGTTCCGTTCTTCGCGAAGGCGCTTTTCTTCTTTTTCCCTTACAAGATCACCTATGTCGTTTAGATCGCGATAACACCTGCCGATGTAGAAATAGTCCATCTCAGTTGAGGCCATGTTAAGTTGTAGGGGGTTGAGCGTAGGTCAGTATGTCCTCAGTCTTCTGAGTTGGATGTCGGGGCCGGTGAGGAAAGGAGTCGGCAAGGAATGTCAGGCTGAGTTGTATAGAGAAAGAGAAGACGCTAATGTGCGCGTTATATATTTGTCAACCGTTAACTCACTGCAGTGTGTGCGATTTGATATTCTGGTTCCCTTCTATCCCATCTATGGTACTGCGATGACGCAGAACGAGACGAGCCACTCATGACTCCCGCAATACATCAACTACATACGCAAAGGTACTCCTCATCAAATGAGAAAGATCGCAATCCTCAGACTCTCACTTAGTGGATACACGCTCAATTGCACGCTGCCTCGGCAGTCATGTATCAGCGTTCCAACGACAAGTTGCGTACCCGTATACTTTACCTGCATTTTCCAGCCAGGCATTTAGCAATCCTTGCTCTTTTGATAACGCAGAAGAAAAGAACAGTAGAGTGGATCATACAAAAAGAAATGGCAAGCCCAATAACATCATGTGGATAGTGGCGAGGAGATCGAAACGTTAACTCTCACTCCACTAACAGGAAGAATGGAATACGCACCTTCTGAAGAGGGCAAGAGAAGTAGAAAATAACTTAAACTGTACATTTCCTTGGAATTCAGCCAGCGTTCGTTTTCCTGTCAATGTAGACTGCAGTACACTTGTTCGGGTCCTTCCTTATCTCAGGTGCTCCTGGCTATTGAAGGCCAGCACCGCATACAATGGTATAGATGTGAATTTTTTGTCGCCAACGTGCGCAACAGCGAGAGACTGGATGAAGAGAAGCCATTTCCTAGGCGTCCTATAACGGACGGCACACCAGAGCAGACCTGAAACACGCCGGTAATTGCGGTACGAATAAGCAAACAAGGGTGAACTTCCGCTTTTCAATCTATATGATTCAATGGCTGCGAAAGTAGGAAAATCGAAAAAGATGGTGTGCGACAACAAACGAGATCCCCACCGCGAAGCCGTTAGCTGCAGGCTGCATGACATTGTTCTCCGCGTTGATCTCCGCAGTCCGGCTATCCCTTCTGGTGGCTGATCGAGGTGGGGCGTCGCGGGACCCCTGCATAAACAACACCTTGCGATGGAGAGACCGGGGGCTCTTGCGGTCCATATGGGAGCCTGCTGCGCTCAATGTTGTGGTTCCCCTTTCACCTTCCCCACCGCTTTTGGGTACATAATCTTACGCGCGTCCGGCCGCGATTGTTTACTCACAACATTTGTATCACCACAGCCATCACACCCCACTTGACCCGCCACCACACTCGCCCCGGTATACATACGCACAACAGCCATTAGCTAAACAGCTATTATATACAAGGCGTCATGACGCTCCGCGACACATACACCAGGTTCCTGGCGACGCCCTCTTCGGGTGCGCTGGCGGACAATGCCTCGCTCCACTATGTCACCACCACGACCAGCATCAACGACGCGACCGCCATCATCAAGCACCTGTCTGTTCAGGAGAAGCTCCTGAAGAAGACCAAGGAGAAAGTGCTCAACGCGATTGAGGGCGGCAATGGCCTGAGTATCGACGTTGAGACGACCATCGAGTTCGTGAACGGCGGCGGCGCATACCTGCCAGGTCTCGATGACAATTTCGTCACCGACCGAACTGTGACGTTCCCTATGGTATGTGCCTGACTCAATCCACGTCCTCCCACCTCGCTCAAAAAGGAAACCGAGCATCTGAAGCCTACATTGACGCTCACTCTTCTACTTTGCATACTCTCCCCAAATGTAGTCTGCAGACCTGTTCGGTTTCGTCTTGGACGGGGTGCACGCCTTCTCCACGCGTTTACTGACACTGACAGGTGCACATGGTCCACTTTGACAAGTCGGGCAAGATTACACAAATCCGCCAGTACTGGGACCAGGGCTCTCTGCTCAAGCAGATCGACGTCATTGGTGCGCGCTCTCGCAACTGGCCCATCCGCGACAGCAGCGAACAGATCCGCCTCATCACATCGAACGCGGCAGCTGCACAGACCGAGTCGAGCGCATCGTCGCGGCCCTCAACCTCAGCTTCACGAGGCGCAGATGAAGTCTCCATCAGCTCCCGTTCGAGGGGATCAACGAACAATGCCATGAACGACCCGCACGCATCGCTCGCCCTGTTTGCGCCTCGCGAGGTTGACACTGAGGAGCGGGAGTCGCGCAGCTCTGGGCCGGCCGCGCCCCGCGCGCAGTCTGCGAAGCCGCCTCCACGCGAGTACTCTGAGCTGTTCGCTGGCGCAGGGGGCGACTCACCGTCTCCTTCGCCCCAGCGCATCCCAGCCAAAGCAGGCAGCGGAAAGAACTTCAAGGCCAACCGATTGTTTGAAGAGGAAGAAGACGAGCACCCAGTCGCCCCGATGAGCATCAAGACCAGCTCCAAGAAGTACGACCACTTCACGTTTGGCGAAGGCGAGGAGACACCCAAGGTACGAGACACTGCGCGACCATCCAAGCACGACCAGAACCGCAACAGGAACGACGCCCACTGGGACTTTGACGACTTCGCCACGCCGAACAAGTCAAAGCCCAAGACGCTTCCTAATGCCGTTCGTCACTTTGGCTGGAGCGACGATGAGGTTGGTGAACACTATCAGCCAGAGGCGGAGGTTGCTACATCTCTGTCTCTTGCTACACAGACGAACTGCTGCTAACATATACCCACCACAGGACACCTCCCCCGTACGCCGCCCCATCGTGCACAAGGCGCGCCCCGACCAAGACGCCCACTTCGACTTCGTCGACGAAGGCACACCCGAAGGCCAGCGCAAAGCCGCACCCACTAAGGGCGGACGCAGCAACAAAGGCCAAGGCCTCTACGAAGACCACGTCACCGACAAAACCGACGAGACCAGCGGCGACAACAGCGACGCAAGGCGCGCCTTGAACGATGTAACGCAGTCCAAGACGCAGACGCGCAACTCCATGAAGACACACTGGGGCACGCACGCTGACTCACCAGAGAACCGCGGCATAAACATCGCGGGTAATGGTATGGGCGGGCGCAAGGGCACTGAGGCTGCGTGGTCTCTGTTTGAAGAGAGCCCTGTTAAGAAGGAGAACAACAATGGCGCGGGTATCAAGACGGAGGGCGACGGCATGGGTGGTAGGAAGAATGCGGACAAGTCGTTCTGGGACTTTTAGGCGGCGTCTCAACCGCATAACCCACGATTGTCGTTTACAGTACCCGCTGATGAGCGGCTGTTGAGGTTTTGAGGATGAGGCATACGGGACTGGTGATTCAAGGCCTCGTTTGTGTATCAGGTCGTTGTTGGCTTGTGTATTCTTGTCATCTTCTCATTCCGCCGCTTCTGTCTGTTCCCTTACAAATGTCGTTTTGCTTGTAAAAGGCATTTGGCATGGCAGTAGGTTGGATGGAAATTGGCGTGGACGACTGGCTATGGGGGCTTATGCTGTAGCATAGTGACCACACCTTT